ACAAATTATGACAGACGCCTTCGGTGATCTAACACCTAGAGCATAAGAATGGATTTATTCAGAAAAAAAGTAAAGCACATTGACGTAACGCGGTGATTGTGATTTAACACTTGAGTGGCTAAACGGAAACATAGCTTTACCGTGCAGTTGACATCCAGGGTTAGTAAAAAGTTGTTTTAAGAACTTCACTAAAAAATTGCCCCTTTTTGCGCGCAGCTGATTTCGTGCGAGTTTTTTTCCTTATCCGCTGAACAAACCTGTCGTCTCTCAGTCCGGGAGACAGGGGACCTACAGCTACCCCGCAGTCCCTCGCACCGGCGCCAGGCCGGTACCCAGCGTGGGACAGAGCAGACTCGTGTTTCGGGGCGCCAAAGGAGTGGTTCATGTCCAGCATGTCAACCGCCAGTCATGCAAACCGGACTTTTATCCGTCCACTGGCCGCGAGCGAGCGGAAATGATGGCTATCTTAACCTTATCCTTGACTTTGAGCATTTTCTTGGACAGTGGTCGACTAATATCAGCAGCATGACGTACCAAGTGCGTGCAACAACCGGTTAACTAATTAGCCGATTAAATTGGAGATTTAAGTTGAGTTTTTGACGGCATTCTTATGTTTTCACAATATACAGGAAGATTGTATAGTGCAGTTATTATACGCGGAAGAATTGGCGGGGAAAACCGAGAACGAAATAAGATTGATGGTAAGTGGGTGACAACAATGCATCTTCTTTATAACATGTTTCTTTTCGCTAGGCATATGCTTGCGTGGACGCTATCAACAAAGAAACAGCCTCAACAGTGCCTGGACATGTCGGAAATCGTGTGATAGGGAACAATTTTATAGACTACCTTGTTCAATATTCATATTTTGTCTGCGAAAACACTAACTACGTCACGAGAAAGGAGACAAGTATAGGTAACATTCACCCAAACGCAAATCCTTGAGAACAGACGAGCAAGCTGGGCCCGCTGATTCTCGAGGCGGCGACCTTCGGCATAAACACGCTGGACTTTGGAGCGATCCCTAAACGTTTAAAGTCCCTCGTCGCCCATTGCCTGTTTTATTACGTCCTTGTAGGAGCTTCCAGTCTGGACTATTTGAAAATTTCCAGCCAATGCCTGGAATTGAGATGTCATTTACGAAATCCTGGCGATCAGAACAACAATAATTATTTAAAGAATGCAAGCATTAAAAGCAAACGAGACAATCCATAGGCCAGTAGCTCAGCCTATTTACTGATACCCCTTCCCCCCCCCCTAAAAAAACGTTTGCAGTTCTGTTGGCGTTTTTTGATACAAAAATTACGGCAGTCTACAGTGAAAGTGCGAGGAGTCGGTATGCGGTCTGCGCCTGGCTCGCTGGCTGCCGGTGATTCGGATTGACCAGCTCTGGGTCGGGCGGAACGGTCAGAAGGCACCGCCTCGGCGCGACGGCCAGCTCAGTTCACGGCCATCGGCGCAGAGGAACCGGCCGTCATCAGCCCACCGCCGGATGTAACGCCGGCCGTGATTGGTTCCTTCTCTGAGACGACGCCGGCGATTGGTGGTGACGGTAGAGGAAGTGTCTAGGCTGGCCCGCCTGAGCCGGCGCGGCCGGTCACTGGAGTTGGTCCCAAGACGTCGAGGTTCGGCCGCCGGCCGCCTGGCGGCGCCACCGTACAGCCCACCAGCCCTTACCGAGTGGCCCACAGCCCCACTGCTCGGCCATCGGCCCTAACTTGGGAACGCCGCTGACCAGCCACGATCAACATGCTGCCGGTGCAGGACGAGCGACCACTGCACCCAAGCGCCACCTGGCGGTGTGGGTCCGCACTGCACGGCTCCGGGCTTGGTGGATTCAACAGCACCGTGTGGCTCACCTCAAAGCGAAGGTACCTACAACCTTTCTGAGAAATGCATCTTCAAGCAATGCGTGATCAGATCCACGTGAGCGAAGGACAACTTCTGAAAAACTGATACTAAGGACAATGCCCCTTATACAAAGAAAAGTGAAATCATGTTGGCACGCTAAGGTCTTAGCTAGATTTATGCATGAAAAGATGCCGCCCATTCACGGAATGAAAGCGTATGAACATTTTCTGAAAACACAAGAGATAACAATGTTCATAGCCTCACTATTTCAAGGACCAATTTCTAGAACTTGAGGAAATGCATAATTTCGCATTGAGTAGTTGCGAGAACACGGAAATTGCCAGAAACGCGGAAGTTGCGCCATCTCAGCATCCTAAGCAGGCTCCAGAGCGTTTAAGATGTCATCACACCTGTCAGCAATCTCGTTCCGTCGTCTCCAGCGCGCATAACTAACACCCGCCGGCATGGGCGGCGGGCCCGACGAGCCGTGCTCGATGGTTCCGTGAAGGGCGGCCCGTGACGAGGGCACCCTGGGCTCGTCACAGGCGGCGCGTCGCCGACCGGCGGCACTTCCTGACTGCCGGTGCCGTTAGACGCTCTTCCGACGCGCCAGATGCCGCCGACGCGCCGCGTTCGTCGTGCGTGAGTGCGCCGCTCGCCGCAGCGTCGCGCCGGGTGTGCACTATGCAGTGTGCACAGCCACAGCACGGTGCGCTGAGAGCATGCCGACACGGCGCAGCGCCGATGGGCGCGGGGTCACCCGGCGAGCACCGCGGGCGCCGCAGCGGTCCCGAGCGTGCACCACAGTCGCACTTCCTCTGAGGCCGCCGCCGGGGGTTACCAGAGGTCACCAGGGGTCACAGGAGGTCGCCGCAGGGCGAGGGGTTAACAGCCGCGCCACCGACAGCGGTCGAAACGTTGGGATGGGACTGACGGGTCGGGACCGAGCAGCCCGGGCGGCAGGTTGAGGAAGACAAATTGTCCACCGGTCAGGCTGCCATAAATACCCCAGCCGGGGATCCTGCCCCTGACCCTTGGTACGTCTAGTGACCAGTCACTCCGCCCTCTATTGACCCTCCTTCGGAGAAGTCAGTCGCTCCTCCGCGCCTGCCAATAACAGAAATGGAGACAAACCGAGAGTGGATAGTTGGCTGTAAAACCGCCCTGTTTATACAGGTCCAATAAATCGACCACTGACGGCTAAGCAGTGCACAACGGCCTGCTGGAAAAGATAAGGTAGATATTTCATTTTCGAAGCCACTTGCCAGGGTAGGAACATGTCTTTTCGAAAAATATCACGACGTGTAACGTACAAATTCCTTTTTGATTATACTTCTTTTAATAACAGAAATTAAACAGCCCCAGAAACATGACTTCGTAATGAAGCAAGGAAATAGTGGAATAGTCCAGGACAACAAACTGCTTTCGAACGTAACTCTCCGTAGATAAATCGAAAGTTTTTGCACCTTTTACTAAGACGGACTTTTAAACATTTATCCAAGTTGCCTGATGCCATTCTCATAAAAAACACCGCTGATCAAGATAAACAAACTATGGCGCAGTTTTTGGTAAACAAACTATGGCGCAAACTATAAACAAACTATGGGGCAGTTTTTGTTGATAGGGACGGCAGCGCCCGGCCCCTATAATTCCTCCTCAAGCCACGGATCATATTCCGGGGACCGTCTCTCTCGGCCCCCGTCCCACCATACCCCGCTTCCCTCCCTGGTTTTTGTTACCGGCAGGGTCAATGTTAAGGACAAATTCTATGGCCCCACGGCCATAAACCAGCGCCAGCACCCCAGCTGTCGCCGCGCGGCCCCGGTATCCTCCGGGAGGGTGCTCGCCTTGATCTTGAACCGTCCGAGGGTCGCGCTGCGTCACTTTCGGCACCCTCCCCTCCCCTCCAGCTGGGTCCCGGACCGCTCAGAGGAGGCAATCAAAGGCCCCTGTCCGCGGAATTTCGTCAGCTGGGCAGCGGTGGCCGTGAAGCACCGCAGGGGAACACTGAACAGACCACATTTCCCCTCCTTTCGCCACTTCCTGCCGACACAGGAGGGCTCCTTTCAAAGCTCTTCAAAGATCAAAGGCATCCGGGACGAGCGGAAGAATTCGGATGTTCGTAATGCTGACATTTCTGTCAGGCACAAAGTATGGCATACAATCGAAGGACATAAATCGAGACAGGAAGCGTTTTCAGAAAGCGCACACATAGGTATTCAGTAAACCAGCTGAAACCGATGGGAAATATGCATCACTGACAAAACAACACAACCATCGAAAAGAAGCAACAAAAAATGTAGGCAATAATGATATGCTAAACAAAAATTATATTTCTTAAAAATTGAAAGCTTGTAGAAACTTCTAGGAAATTCAAAAGCTAGTCACTAGTCAACAGGTTCATTGCATCGATTTCTATCGGCTGGGCTTAGTGGTAAATTGGATGAGAGTAAGTGGAACTGGACCCATCCAAACTAATGCCAATGTTGTAGGTGTACACGATATACCTTCATGACCTTGCGCTTTGAAGCAAAAATGCCTGAGGTACTAGGTATTGCAGGTGCATGGAGCTTATGTACTGCATAGGATTCCCCGGATTCTCAAATCCAGGCCGGAAACGCATAAGCATGGTCGGAGACTCACGTTGTGCCCAGTCATCAATTACTATTATTATTTTATCATTATTATTTCAGTATACCCGACAACCACAAAGTAGTGGGCATTACGTTGGGTAGTGGTGCAATCTTCATACATACACATTACACAACACACATGTCACATACAACACACATGTATGAAATGTTCATATCTCAGGCAGCTTTTGCCAAATTGTCAGGGAACTCAGATTTGTTTTTCAATAGAAAAACACAATTCTAAAGAATAGTGTTTTAACTATTGACAACAAACCTTCGGTTACATCGAATTGTTACACACTCAATTAGCAAAAAGTCGAAAAAATGAGCAATAAAAATATAACCTAAGAAGAATTACCATAACCTAGGTCATTTCAACTTAGTGCAAGAACTTGCACACAAATATTTCTTTTAGAAGGCTACCGTATTTTATATGTTCATCCACAAACGAAATAAGATGCATATGAGTCACGTGCTGGGCACGTGACATTAACTTTTCCACTAAACAGGTTGCTCAAAATCAGTTCCTTTATTACCTAACTTGGTTTGTTCTTGATTGAGCCTGAGTTTTTGTTTTTCATTTAAATTCAGCCTAAATTCTAAGTAACAATTGAAATCATGAGGATTTTCAGCATTACGCTGCTGTGCCTAGCCATCTTTGTGATTGCTACAGGTAAGAAAAGCTCACGGATGACTTTATAAAGCTTTCCTTCGCAAGTCCATTCTCAATAACATAACAGAAAATGCATTTTCATTGCAGAAGTCTACAAACGTAACGACATGGCATTGCTCATGTCAGATACATGTTTTCCATTTAAGCAAAAATAGGAATCGTGGTTTTTAAGCAACTTCAAACAATTCGTGACATTTCCGTTTCATTTTGCAGAGGCCCGTAGTGCACATCGTCGGCGTCCTTACGAATATGATGAACGCGACGACGACGGAAAGAGGCCTTTGGACGAAAAGTCTGGACACGTCGTCAAGAAAATAGGCCAGCTTCTCAACAAACAAATTCAGGAAGAAATGCGGGAACAAATCTACGACAAAGTTCATGAAAATATCATTGAGCCTGTCGGAGAAATCTTGGAAAAATAACTCAAACAGCGTCCTTACAAGTAAAATGCCACATTTGTGGCATCGCCTTCCTCCCCTACATTCTGTCACCGGTGTGGCTATATTAAGTACCTTGTCAATCTGTCAGCAAATATAAACTCTTAGCAAATAAAAAAGGGCGTTTCTCTTCAACTGACAACTAAAACGCTTATGTAAATACCGGGCGTGGGGGCAGAAAACGTAAAAGGCACGTACGGCTCTCGCGAGAGGTTTTGCACTTTTACATTTCCGGTTATATCTCAGAAATTAATTGATCTACGATAAAGCCATTTTACAATTTACACGATCATGGCCGGCTTGTTACCCAAAAAGTCGGTAGCATCTTCAACACGTAAAAGCTTAAGATGACGAAGATACAGCCTGAAGTACACTAAATTTTCTAGGTGCAAAACCTACCGCTAAAACCCGCGAGACCTCTACTTCCAGGAGCCGGCGCTATAAAAATGAGGCGGCTCCAGCCACAAAGAGATCAACGAATAACTAACACTATAAACGCGTTATAATTAAAACTTTGTTTGAAACTGAGTAGCAGTAGCATTGCCTTTCCAGTCCCAATTCACAAAGCAAGCCTGTTCTGTTGTTTCCCTTTCATATTGCCTAATGCCTTCAATACATAGATCCTAGAACAACAGAATCAATGGATAAGGATAATAACCAGAGAAGGCAGAACCATGGATAAGAACACCAAACAAAGAAGCACCAAGTGACCTGCTGTTAAGTACTGTAGTTTCAAAGCACAAAAGTGATAGAACGAAGCGGATATCTCCAGTATCTTCCGAATTTAGTATTTTCCCATGGGCTTAACATTACGACGCAATAACCCCTAACTGACCTCAGGTCAGTGACATCAAAAAACCGAACTATGTGTCATACAACACGGTGAACTTAGCACATCCTGAAAGTTTGAAGGAAATCAGTCAAAAACTGTGAGTTGGAGAGGTGTAAAAAGAAAATTGAAATTTGACCATGACCTTGTACCGGTTTTCCCGACCTGGTGACCTGACCCAAGGTCACCCGGACCTGAAATTTTCAGGTCATATGTAAAAAGGTTGCCCCATAGGCTGTACCAAATTTGGCGGCGCTGCGCGCCGCCGTTTTTACGCTATTTTCGAAAAACCTTAGGGGGGTTGCATCAAGGGTTGCATCTTTAACCCCAGGACGAGGGTTAAAGAGCCGTCAAGTAACTTATCAGTTTTGTATCTCCTATATTGTATGACTAGGCGTAGAAGTTGAGCTTGTAGGTTTCGCCACGTTCTGATGCACAGCAAGGAAGTAAAACTTCTTGCATCGGCAACTAATCAGTTAGGCATTGCAAATGTCAGAAACCCAATATGCATGAAACAATAAAGTCACAAATTTGGCTGTATTACACGAAAGACTTAGACACACTCCACTGACTTGCTGCGTGTCGCTCTCGAGCTCACAGATCGGACAAAGCGTCGTAACAATGAGCTGGATTCGCTCGTTGTTGGTGCAAGACATTGACTGGATGAAGGACGCTCTTTCACAATATCCCGGGAGCCTTCACCCACATTTACAACCGTTGCAGTATCCAGGGTAGGCGATTGGGTGAGTTCCGAAGGGGCAATGCCATTTACTTGCCACTGGTGCCACTTTCCACTATACTGATTGCATATGTAGTCGTAGGTGAATGTAGGCTCGATGCGAAGCTGTACGGGGGCCCGATCACTTCGCTCTCCTCTAGACACTATACTTGTTGGCTTGTCACAATACATCGGTAGATTATATCGTGCTGGTGAGCGGTGACAGATGTAGTTTTGCATCTTTTTAAGAATGATTTCACCAAATGAACAGGTCGATAGCTGAACAATTATGTCTCAAAACGAAAGTAATTTTGCCATTGCGAGGGCAAACCAAACAAACTTGCCAAAGGCTTACACTAATTGTGACGGCAGCGTTAAAGAAATCAATCAAAAAGAAACATTCGGAAACTAAACCCAGTCACAAACAAATAAGGTTGTCATAACCAAAAAGACGGGTCATTAAAATACTCGACTTCAAACTGATGCCAGGTACTTGGCACTTGGCGAGACGCTTGGGCGAGACGCCAGATGCCCCAAGGCCATATATAGGAGATGCCCTACTTGCCAGACATGAGCGAATGTAAAAATTAGAAATCAGGAAGAAAAGATCGCAATGTTGCACGTGAACATACTTGACTAGGTCAGCTAATTTTAAGCGCAACAAACCCGAAAACCAGCCATCATGATCAGGCTTGGCTCAGACAGGGTTTAGAAAATAAAGTACTTTTTCTGTGTCCTTTAGAAAAATTGTTCAACAGTTAATGATGAAATTTCAGTTGAATAAGTCGACTAAAGTTCAAACTACGCAACTTGAAATACTTCGCCTCTTACTGTAAACAGATATCAATCACCCCAAAGGCAAGATATACTGACTGTCATGTTACTGGGCTTATTTTTCTACAGACGGGCAATATGCTTCCTTATTTGCGCGTCTACGTCGCTAACGCTTACACTTACAGGTAAGTTCCTGTTCCCGGTGTGAGTGCAACGTTCAGGTTGTAATATGATGCTCACACGATGCCATTATTCACATCGAACAGCTATTGACAAATTGTGATGAGACAATTATTGAATGATTGAAAATATCAGTGTTATCCGGTTTGACTATGCACATACTTATCTAATGAAGTAAACGCCTACATCTGAAAAAAAGCTTCAAGCTCTACCTGCCGGTAAAAAGTCAGGGGTTTTCCTTCACAAAAAACTGCATTTGCTTTTGACAGCCTAGCATCTTTACTCTATTTGCTACCTGCCAGGAGCTGTACCAGAAACGCAGAACTTCATTTCGGTGCTACAGCAGCTGCCCTCTGCCGGCCCTTCGAGCAGCTTAGTTCGTCCTGATGGCCATCAGGTGTCACTGCCTGCCTACTCCCTGGCACCACTTCTCAGGAGCGTCAGAAGCATAGACGACGACGACCTTCGTCGAGATGTGAATTCACAACTCCAAAGCAATCGTCCATTAGACGCCAAAATAGATTATCTTATTTCCACACTTGCAAATCTAGTGAAAAAGCAAATCCGGAATGAAATTCAAGAGAAGTTGATCAACAGAATCAAGACGGACATTCTCGACCCTATAGACGAATCCATTCCAGACCTGCACAGCCAGCGTGGTCGTCGATGACTAAGATTCGAATTAGCTACCTCAACCCATCCGTGTGTGAGTACGCTGTCCCTTGTTATGTTGCTTTCATGCGAGCAGCTGTTTGAATTTTTGTTTGCAGTATCTGATATAAATGTACCATGCATGAGTCAAATACACCTAAAAAGACAATGAATGAAATAAGTTTGGAGTCTATGGAGTCTATGGAGTCAATTTCCCGTCAGCGATAACGGTAACATCATTCCCGCTAGCAGCTAATCAATACTGAAGAAAATAATGCAGAGAAGTGTCTAGTGGCAACCTTTTATCCATGCGATATCAAAACGAAATGATTAAGCGCAGAAAACGAGGATTCGGTGAAAGCTCTGAAATCGATTATGTATTCATGCAATCAAGAGCACGAGCGTACATTCCATCCCGTACGAAAATTATCGACACCAAGTCCCGCACTCCTTGCGAGACGACCACAGGCTCGATGCCCGTAGTCCTGATCCACCAACAGACCGTACTGACAGACGGTCAGAATAGCGGAAAGCTACCACAACTGGAGAGGCCGAGTCTGATTCAAAATACCGACCTTCTAAACTGATGGAGGTGGATGAGCCTCAGCGGTAGTGAACGACCACTCCAGCGACCTGATTCTGATCGAATTAAAAAAGACCAAAGTAGCACACACTTCCAACAGCCATTGACTCCGATGACGTCAGGCCTCGGGACAATCATGAGTCCGAATCAGTCCCGGGTCAGGCCTACAGTTCACTGAGGCAGGTCGCCACAGCCATGGTTCGACTAGTCTCAGAGCCTCGAAAAGCGTTCTAGTTGACAGCTAGACTAATGTTGGATACAACATCTCGAAAACCATCAACAGTGCCATCAAATGTCTGATAACTTTGGTGGCTATTTCAGCAAATTGATACATGTAACAAAAGGAATGAATAGTTTCACGCAAAGGAACACACCTTGTTGTGATCAGTCCGCCTTCTTTGACTTCTTTTTCTTGGCTATGCTGGCGAGCATCTTCTCCTTCTTCTCCTTCTCCTTGGACTCCTTGTCCAGGGCCTTGGCCAGCTTGAAGGACAGCAATGATGAGATAAAGAAGAGAGGTGACAGGCAGAGCAGCACTTTGAAGAGGAAGTCGTATGGATCAGTTGCCGCCCAGTAGACGATACTGTCGGCCCAGCCCTGCCAGGTGCTTGTGTCGATCTGCGGCCGCTCGCTCGGCGGTGGCACAGCCTCATCGGCCATCACGGTAGGCAGCTGTGGGCACAGACAATTGATGGATTATGAATAAATTTACTTATAGGCTGTGATAGAATGAGTTAGATCATACCATAGCACCCATTTTGAAATGAAGCCAGCATTATTTGTCTAAGGTTGTCTAAGGTAGGTATCTGCTGTATTGCACCCAGAGTCAACTGCAAACCGTAGCAACAGAGGCAGTGTCTGGTAAGCAACCACATAGCCAGGGTGACATAAGCATCAGCACCAGCCTACACCATTCATGCTGGGGATCTGAGCACCCACCTGCACAAAGCAAAAATTAGAAGATAAGTCCACAAAAGTTAGAAATATGCAGTATGCACTCGTGATATAAATAATTGTAGCAAGACCCCAATTATTTCCTAGGGCCGAACCTTTTGTGCCTCTGTACAATGTACGTACATCATTTTCTAGGACCAGGACAAGGCTGTGCCAGTATTGTAGTAGGTACAGCATTATACCAATTTTAAAGTTAGGGCCTGCACTGCTCCACCCGAAATCCGCCCATCAAGGTATATCAACACCATACAACACACACTACCTAGTGCACAGTGCACATCAAGCTCAATACAGACATACCAACAAGATCATATCTAAATTGTCCTGGTTCACAATCTGGGTATCCAGGAGTCAAATTCATTCTCCAGCAGGACATAGGACCCGCAAGCAATGCAATTTCCTTCCAGCACGAGCAAATGGAGGAGCTCGGGGATTAAGTCCATTGCTGGTTAAGGAGATATTTTCCCATCAGTCACAGTCACCCGACCTGAAAAGCCCTTAACTAAAGCATCTAGGGCATATTGCAGGAGGAGGAGGTCTAGGCCATAAGGAGTGTCCATCCCAACCTGGAGGCCCTGAAGGCGAATATCGTGAAGATGTGGGAGACGAAGGACCCCACCAACATCATAAAGAGATGCAAGTCTTTCTGCCTCTGTGTGGACTGTGAAGGTTATCGCCTCTGAGGGAGTTATATATCGCCTCTGAGGGAGTTATTATCGCCTCTGAGGGAGTTATATCAGGCATGAGGGGAGTGAAAGTATCTGCTTTGATGTTGCAAAGCAGTATCTATTTGGTGTTTGTGTTGATAATATTTGCTCCGACTGCATTTGTTTGTCGAAACATACAAATGTACCAGAACTTTTTGGAGCGCACCCTGCAGAAAGCATCTCTGGGTAAAGTGCATCTAGTCCCCTTGGTTGTAAAAAACCAAGTGTGATGCCTGCTTTATGACTACCGAAATGTAACACAGAAACTGGAGGGAGCTATGAGGATGAAGAATGAAGAAATTAAGATGAATAATTGCACAACCAAGAAATGCCATCCAAAGATTTGTCCCCGAAGCTGAATCGCTGCAGTGATTGTTGCATGATTACTATTCATTAATTTGTGGTAGATGGACTGTATGTTAAGCAGTACGTTCACTTGTAAAGGACAGTGAGATCTTGATAGTTTCTAACAAAAGTTTGTTTGTTAGTTTGTTGGACGCTAGAGCCAAGCTGCTACGCGCCCTAAAGGCCTGGCTACACTATGCATTTTCAGTGTGCGTTTTTGGCGAGTTTTCATGATTTGCAGATTATCGTTCTAGGAAAAAATGACATTACATTTCTGTTACGTTTTTCATATAACCTTTTAGTTAATTTAAATGTTTTATTAACTTTTATATAAATGCCAGGCTTTAGCTCTTCAACAACAATAATTATAGTTTCTTTTTGGTGGCCCTAAATATAAGGTAAGTTTATTCTAGAGTTCAGTTTTTTTTAAGTGGCCCTAACTTATGTTAGCGGCCTCGAAACGAGGACAGCGACCTCGACCTATGCCGCACAAAAGAAACCGGCCATCCTAACCAAGACCAGTGGCCACTTTTACAGCAAGATAACATGGGAAAACCCATATCCATGTACTATGCCATGGTTTATTCGTGGTTTATTCCAACGGTGTATATACTGCCTTGATTCCAACTTTGGGCTGGCATACCTAATGGCGCGGCTGTGACATTTACGGAGGAGAGCTAAATAGCCATTCTTTTCCGAATGCCTGCGGGCTGCGACCTAGATATCTAGCGCAAATGGTGCACAACACTCAATAATTATCCGTTATTACCTGTGAAATATCCTAGGAAAGATACAAGATAATATAATAAATATTCTAGACGCAACGACTATGCACGGTATAACGTGACTTTCAAGCATTTGTTATTTCAGTAGTAAGTTTACCAAAGTTATAGTGACGTCATGAACTATTTCGTAAGCCCAATGTACAAGAAATAGGCATGCACTTGGTGTTTCTGGTTTATTTTTAATGGAAATTGTATAAATAATAACAATATTAATTGGGTGTAAAAATTACAAATACTAATTGTATTTAAGTGTCAAAAAAAGGATTTATCGACTGGACTCTGCGGTACAGCATAACTTCAGGCGTTTGTAGCTAGAGCCATCTAGTGAGGGATGTTGAACACAACAGCAGCTAAAACAATAATACGGATGTAGGTAATAGGTAATTTAGGTATCACATTATCACAGTGAATTCGCGGCCCCCTCCCCCAGGCTATTTTGTGGATATAATCAATTGAGCCATGCCTTACGCACATGAATGCACATTGACATACGAATGCATTATGTAGGTAGGTAAATACCTAATAGGCACACAAATGACATGTGGCAACAACAGACGACTTAGACGGTTCGGCTCGGCATTGTGCATAATGCCGCTTTGTGAGATTTCATTATGGTGAAATATGTTTCGTCTGAGTGTGAACGAAATTGCCTCAGGTTTATACCTACGTCTTAGTCAAAATGCGCGTTATTCTTCGGGGGAGTTTAAATTTCGAATATATGACTCAAGTAAGTCGTGAGCCTTTTCTTACGAATCTCTTTGATTATGCACTGATAACATTCGGTGGAAAAACTAGCAAGACAGCAGTCTGGCTGATCAGCGGTGCTGCTCTCTGCTGACGATGAAACGATCCCTACTACTACTTCACACAGTGCGAGTGAAGCTGTAGGTGGCAGCACCACCGTGTGAGGGCAGCATGGGTCCGAAAATGACGGGACGGGACTACTGCAGACCCCGAGTGATGTCGAAAACGTGAGCCTAACGACAGTGTCTAGGTTGAGAGGAAGCGTAGTCACATGCGGAGAAATAATAAGGGAAATAAACACAAGGCCCGGCAGCCTAGTTCATACACGATTTGTTTGCGCACACGAAGTGCTAGTGCAGTGCACTGAAGATATGGAGACGAAACGGTTGTGGGCGGATTTGCCAACTGGAACGACCTATAGGTATCTGGGTGTTATAACATTAAATCATATTATTTCTCTGATTGTCTGGCATTGAAAGCAACCGCATTTTGACTTTTCATACAGGGCTACCTCATCTTTCCCTGTTCTGAACCAATCCATGCTTAGGTATCCTTATTCCTCAGTCCCCCTTTTTTGAGCTGACGATCATGCTCAGACAATAGGCGAGGGCATCTCCTACAGGTGCCTACCCCCGGGATAATGTTTGAATAGATTGAAAGATCTAATGAACCATACCAAGCAAACAAACAGCGTATCTCAACATCTTAAATTACGCATCGTTCTATCCTCAGGACTGCTCAGTGCTCATCGGTGTTACCTTATTCAAGGCTGGCGCCCCTTGTCATCATTTCCTGTTCAGGAATGACGGTCGTACCTCGCTCACCAAGTAACGTGCAAGGGCTGCTCCTAAAAGAACTCATCCACCTCCTATCCATGATGACCGTTCATGGGCGGCTGGCTGGCTGACCTGTCTCACAGAGGCACATTTGTGCCACTAACGGATTGGGCCCAGCCACTCAGCGCACAAGCTGGCTGAATGCGTCTTTTTTTTTCTCGCAATGCATTGCCCTGGAATGGTCTTACCGAAGTGGAGTACCAAAAAAGGCATCTTTCATCGAAGGCAGACAGGCATCAACTCAGGGAATCTTGAGGAATCCAAACGAAGGCAGGCAAATTTTCCTCGATTTCGGGTGCCGCAACGGTTGAGTCCCTATATCTGGCAGTGAAAATACACCAAAGGAGTACAAATAAACAAACATTCTTCAGTGATCATGTTCAATGTACAGTTCTAAGATCACTTCTGCTATAAATTAATGGCTTGATAATACGGCATATCTCGTTGACTAAGACAGAATACCTCAAAAGCGAAATGCATGGGCAGTTATTCGGCCATTCAATGGTCTAAGTGAAAAGCATCGATGGCGGCCCTTGACATAAATTGACGGAATAGCTCTTCAGTGAGGAGTTGTCATTGACGAAATCCACCATGTGTCTCCATGAACACAATGACAGCCTTGAGAACGCCACAGAACAGCGGGCCTTGAACAGCATAACTCACTGAGTCAGTGATGAGTATGTAGACGATATTCAAGCTTCGAATCTTTGAACACTCATAGTGACCGATAACTATCTCCTTATCTTGCCCTCCCAGCAGCACCAACTTCTCTTCAAGAAACAGCAAGATCATGAATGCGAATACGAATTACGATGTTCCGAGCACCGCATCACGAATCACGATGTAATTGCCGCTATTTTCTCTCACACTGCGGTCACGATTGTGAAATCATAGCGTAAATTTGTTTCAAATCTGCGCCATAAATACTAAAGAAGTATAATTTCCGTTATCGCTTTTGCGCTTCTCCCCCAGCCGGCAGATATATGACCGCAATTTGTTACAGGTTGGCTGATTTCGTTTTACTTTCCGAGCGGAGGGTTTTCATTCCACCGTCCATCGTCCTCTCGTATGGAGCGCCGTCTCCGCCGAGCACAGCCAGCACCCGTGCCGGATGGCGGCGGCAGCAGCAGCTGTCGGGCCAGTTGCAGCAGTGCCAGCCCTCTGCAACCGTCATCTAATCAATTTACGATCGCGCCGGCGGCCGCCGTCCGATACTTTGCCCGTTTGCTCCGTCTGCGCTTAGAGAGCGAAACGATGGTGACATAGTGCGCGACAGCGGGCAGTTTGCTCCAAATGGCGCCAGGAATGAGTCTTTGTACGTGACTAATTTGTCCACCTAAGGCTCCAGGCGCTGCTCCTTCGATAGCTGGCGGTGACTCGGCATAAGATCTGCTATTGAGGGGCCTGGGATCCTGACACGGCCTGACTTCGCTTTGAGAAGTTGAGGTCCTTCGCAGGGTCCATTATTGAGGAGTCCAGAGAGCCATGCTCAGGGCTCAATATTGAAGAGCCTGCATATATTTCTAGTGCTGAGTTGACCAAACGCTGCTCATGTAACCAAATACACGGACTGTTCAGTTGGGGTCATCGTAATATTTGAATGGTACTCGGGCATCCAAAGCAGTTGCAAGCAAACTCGAAGAGTTTCCCGTTGGGTTCTTCTGACCAGTCATGTTCGGTCCCTGCTCCAGCCTTTTCCTTGTCTATAGTGACTCGGCAAGAGCACACACTGTGTGGGCACTGGTCGTCCGACTACACTGTGTTGCGAAGTCACTGTGCCTTTACATTGTATAATATACTTGCTGGGTTGCTGTCATCAGTTCAAAACGTTCTTTTGTCAAATAACCATTCACTTTTATAAACTCGCAATATATTGCATGCGCAGTTCAATCGACATTTTTGTTTGCCTGCGTTGCAATTTTAACGTGACCTTTTCATGACTGCCCGACACATTTCACCGGCCTGGTATGTGCCAGTCCGTAGGTGTGTTATTTGGATACCGCCCACTACGTCTTTGAGGGTCGCATGTCCTCTGGTGCGATCCATAATAAGCAACTCAAAGCCGTTTGTTTGTGGATTTATCTGGGCAACTGGCATGGTCGTGAAGGCCTATCACGAAGAAAGGTTACAAAAGAATTGCGCAGTGCACAATAAAAAACGCACATACCATTTTCATCCCACTATCTTTTGATCATCGTGGGACAAGTAATGTGCTCGCTTAGCGAGCACATTCGTGAAAGCTCTAATTTCGATCGGCAGTTCATGCTTCTCCACAGATTGGAAAGTATTTTCCTTCAAAGCTTTCTGTTTAATGATGAACATTACGCATTTCGCCAATGGTTTGATTAGTTTCAATTGCAAACATTTCAACAGATGTCTCTAGTGGCTGATAATGACCAGATATTCCTTTATCTTATTTCTTAGGTCATTTTCTCTCATCAGATGATGAGTGACAATCTTCCTGGGTCTGGGTGAGACTGGAATATTGTTACACTTGTAAAAGTGCCTCGGCTTACGGGAGATGTTTAAATGGCACATATAGTAAAACGTTTCTTTTATATTTGCTTAATTAAAGTCCCAAAGAAATAAGCAGCGATTCAATTTGAGGCTAGTTCTACGATCAGAATTCAGCATGCCGCCAACACAGGGGGCGGCCATACTCTCTTTGACTGGGGGAGGGGTTGGGAAGGAGGAATTCGCGGCCCCATGCAGCGCCGTGAATTCTCGTGAGTAGTCGCCGTGACACATGCAGGCACAATAATCAATTGCTCTTTGAAGAAGGGTCGAGTCAGCATGACGTGAGCATCGCCGTCACTCAGCGATTGGCTCACGCGACAACCAAGACTACAGCAGGAGCGGTGGCAAAATAAAGGACGATTCGGGACCCATAACAAATTTTTTACCGTGCCAGAATATACACCATTATTAAATTGTTACCATGATAAAGTTATGACGATAATCGTTTTAGAACCAGCGCTATCGGTGCCCGGTGGTCTCAACATATTGCACAGCTTCTAAAAGAGACTGCACCTGTTCTGATATCATGATATAAATAGCTCATGACAAAACTATCTGGAAAGAGGGAGGCTGTTGGAAGCATCGGACCGTCCCAGACACAATTATTGCTTTCTTCAATCGTGTATCTGTGCCTGCACGCCCGTCAGGTATTTGCCGATATAGCGATAGGGCAGGTGTTTCAATTTTCATATAAACCCCTTCAACATATCCTTCGTGTGGTGTGAAGATTTCCAAGAAGGCATTACATACAAAATAACTCACATCTTAACCCGCGACCTGGTGGGGGGGGGGGGCTATTTTTTGCCCCCCCCTCCAGACTTTTCGATATATCTCCAGAACCACTGCGCCGATCGTCACCAAACTTTCAGTACCCTCCCGGACATCAATTTTACACATTGTGACCAAAAATTTTTTCCAAAGGCTATGATAGGTTGGCCGGAAATGACGTCAGAGTGACGTCATGTTCTGCCGTTTTC